GGTAAATTTCCAGCCCCACCTGACCAGAAACCACAGATGTTTAAGTCAAAATATCACACAAATGGCCCCAATAGAATCTTTGTGGCATTTTCAAACTTCCCTCTGAAACTTCATAAGCCATACTTCCACTGTCTGCAATGCTGTCAACATTATCTTCCAAGTTCCCACAACAGTTCATTAAGCTCTGAGTACTCAATGGCTTTTCCAGCCAAAAGCTCCAAAATCCTTCCACAATCCCTCCCAAAAATATGTTCAAGTCTATCACAGCAAGATCCCATTTTGATACCAATTCTTGTTATAGTTTGCTTTCTGTTTATGTGATAAACACCATGACCAAAAGCAGCTTGGGAAGAAAATGGTTTACTTTACCTTACCGTACAGTCCTTCATCAAGGGAATCCAGGAAGAAACTCAAGCAGGAGGAACCTGGCGGCAAGACAAGAACTGAAGCAGAGACCATAGGGGACCACCAGCTTACTTCCTGCTCAGCCACCCCTCCTATGTAGCCCATGCCCACAGTGGGCCCCTCCTACATAAACCAGCAATCAAGACAATGCCCCACAGACATGCCCGCAGGCTAATCTGATGAAGACAATTCATCAACTGAGGTGCCCATCTCCCAGATGTTTCTATTTTGTGTCAAGTTGACAAAAACTAACCAGTATAATCACCCAACCTGCACACCCTCCCCATGCCACTCCCCTGCCATCACCACATATACCAGCCTTGATGTTAGCAGACAAGCAGGCAAAACCTAGTTGGATTGCAGCTTATGAAGAAGTTCAGTTCAGGTTATCTGTCAACATTTGGGGAAACAATCTTGCTGGGCTGCTTCCCACTGCTCATGAGCCCTAGAACTCAGGAGAGATCCACAGCTTTGGAGTCTGACAAAGCTCGTTCCAGTTGAGAAATCTCCATGACTTTGCAAAGGGAAGGAAAACTTTCCTTTCCCCTAGTGAAAGTAAAACACCTGCCTCCCTCAAGTGGAAAGAGAATTGATATCCAAGACAAGGAAGGTCTAGCACCTGGGACCTGACATCACCCTCCATTAGTGGCTGTCCTGCAGTTTGCCAAGCAAATAGGAGTCATTTCTGATCAGTCATGAGGGCTATAAGGAAGAGGCACTGCCAAAAGTGTGGGACATGGGCCAAAAAGTGCACAAACAATAAAGGGTGGGGATGCCTCAGGCCGCTTCCCTGCTCTTAGAAATGACAAATTTGACTTGAAACATTCTCCCTTATACATTCCCCCTTGTCTTAGGTGTGTCTCCAGAGGCTTCTCAGGAGGAATGCCAGCTTTTCAAAATCACCTTTGGAAAGCACTCAAACACTCAGAATCAAGTATTTCTTTTTTGGTACTAAAACTGCATATGCTTCAGACTAACAGGTGTTGCCATTAACAGACTTCTCATTTCCACTTCTCTCAGCTTAACATGAGACCTTGAATATTCTGAAGAACCAGAGGTGTTTCTTCCTTTTTTAAAGTAAGAAGTTGACAGTTATCTTTGAAATGTTAAAAGCAAGTGAAAATCTGAGAACAGTGATCTTCCCTGGGGAGTGGGGCTGAGATTGAAGTTTATACTGTATGCCCTGTACTATTTAAATTGCAGCAGGCCTAAATCACTTCAGTAATAGTTTTTGTATGTGTAAACATTTAAAAAGCAGGTAGAATTCCAACATAGGAATCCATTCCTTCCCTTGAAACATATAATCCCAGGAAAACCTTCAAATGTGGAAGTTGTATGTGTAAGCATGTCAGGAACTGCCCCCAAATAGCCAGTCCCCCCCCCCCCCCCCCCCCCCCCCCCCCCCCCGCGCGGCTT